TGAAAGCACGTGTTATATACATAGATGTTATGCCAATGTACTTCTCTTCATTTATGTTCACAATCCAGTCTGTTGGAAACTTAAACGTTACTCTGTTCCCCTTTATTTTGACGTCAGGGTTTTCACTACTGAACGCAACAGTAAAGGTATTTGTCTATACATTTAATTCGGATAAAAATAAACCATTTACTCTTTCTTTGCTTCAGCTTCTTTAGCTTTTGCTTCAGCTTCTTCTCTAGCTTTCTTCGCCAGCAAACGTGGGTTCTTTTGTCTTCCAGCAGCTAATGCAGCAAGTTGTTTTTCACTAAGTTTTCTCTTTGGTCTCTCTGGCTTTTGTTCCTTCAGTTCGGATAAAATTTGCTCACGAATTTCTTTCTTCAATGCTTCAACATCTATGACCCCTTGGGTCTTGTCCGTAGGGCTTGTCTGAGTCATTTGACTGCAGATAAAAAAAAAATTAAAACTTTAACCGATGTAAAATGAGCTTGTCAAAATCAGAGCGAGAGTCTATTATATTAAATGACGCAAGAGGAATACAACATCCTTTCTATTACGTAAGTCAGAGTAAAGATGGTAAAATATACGTAAGAAAAAGAAAGGTTCCATTAGCGAATGCAGAAAGCGACAACATTAAGGTGTATGGCAAGGGTGAAGTCCACGAAGCCCATATAAAACCTTCTGTTCAAACTGAAAAGTCAATAGAACCAGAAGAAAAGAAGCCAGATGTACTTTCAATAACGAACCAAGAGCTTATTGCAAAGTTCGTGAATTTCATTGAAAAACAAACCGAGTCAAAGAACCTGACCCCAGTGAAAGAAGTTGAGACAAAAGAGAATGTACAGTTCATTGAAAATGTCAAGAAACAACTTCCACCACGAATGCCAAGAAGAAGAGTGAGAATAATGAAGTAAATAGATATTTTTATCTGAAGTAAATACATGCAGAACGAACAGTTAAACGAATTTACTCCAGCAGAGCATATTCATCAGATTCGCTCATATTTCGATATCATAGACAATGCAGTTCAAATTGGTGACACTAATAGAAAATATTCTGACGCAAAGATTCCATCACAACCTGGAACTGCTAAAGATAACACATGGGTAACATTCAATCTCTCACCTCCTGGTGAAAATATGTTGGACCTTTACAATACATTCATTACGTATAAAATGGAAGGTCAATTTATTGTAGATAAAGAAATTGGTTCAGGTTCCAATAAAACAAACCCACCAGGATTTTGGATTGGTTTCGATGACGCTTTCTATGCAGTTGCTGGATATCAAATCCTTGCAAATGGTCGTATCGTATATTCTCAAGACAACGCAAGAGAAGAAGCATATATAACTTCAAACTCACAAACTACCGAACAAATAAAGAAAGTAGATGTTTTCTCAAAGACTCGACATGAAGATGTATGGAGTCATTCGGGAACATGCAGAACAGGACAAATTGTTAGTGGTCCAATTACAGCAGGAAAATCATTTGATTTTAAGCTTCGTTTAAGAATTCCTGTTAGAAGATTCCTTCCATTAGAAGCTATTCGATTTATTCCAGCTTTTGCAGGAAACATTCAGCTTAAAGTAAAGTTCAGTAGCGACGCCTTACAATGCACATCTATATCTGTAAATGATATCATTGCTTTCAATCCAACTCTTAAAGTTGCATTTGCTTCAGATTCAAATCCACCGACAAATAAATTTGTTCCATGGAATGAACCATTCACTATGATAACGAAGGCAGTAGAAGCTAGTGGAACAGTTACTATTACAACTGTAACCCAGCAACTATTTCGAACAAAGATGGATTTTAATGAATGTTTCATTCATCCAAAGTCATTCTCTTTAGACCCTAACATTTATACAGAACTTGTAGAACATTATACAAACGAGGCTTTATGTTTTCCTGTTAAAGTTATGGATTGGATTCCTATGGACGGTTCATTCTCAAAGAATACAGATAGTTCAAGTGCAACATTTACAGCAGCTTATACGCCTATTAATGTTAAAAGTATTTGGGCACTATTTAGAAAGAAAGACAACTATTATGTTAATTTTGAGAACCCTAAGTTTAAATATCTTCAGCTTTCCATGGGAGCTTATGGAAATATGCCTGCAGAACCTGAAAAATCATATGGACCTGTATTTTATGAAATGGTTGCGAACGCTTGCAATACAAACAATGATATGATAGGATTTAATGAAGATGTTATGAGGTCATTGGTGGATGATGGTAGTGTGGAACATAAATGGGATAGCTATGACAACACACATTTCTTATGTGGTTTTCCAACAGAAGTGGACTTTTGCTTCCAGCAAGGTCAAACATCTACTGCTCCAATAACATACAAATTGTCTGTTAAAGGACCTATTGAACTAGCAACTGAAAATGTACCAAAGCCACTTATTGGATTTATGAGGGATTGTTGCTTTGCCATTCAGGTGCGTGCTAATGGAATCCCAATAATAAGATTAGATGACTATAACTTAGCTACGGACGACGTGAGGAATAAAGGATGAACGTTTATTTTTAAAGCTTATAAATGAGTTCTTCATCAAGCTCTCGTGAACCTTCACCATCTATGAAACAAACTTTACCAAACGATTATGGAGCACCTATTGAATATTTCTTACGAGCTGCACAATGGCAAAGAGCAGTCTCACCAAGGTTAGGTGTTCCACCAGCTCCTGTCAAAAATAGCATTTGGTCAAGTCCTTATATAAATATGGTCTCCCACTAGGTTTGCTAGCTACAGCAGGAGCAGTTATGATGTTGAAAAGAAAAAAGCAAATGTTGTAAATAATACTGAAGTAGCTGAAGTTAAACAAACTCCAACACCTTCACAAACAACAACCTTCAATGACTCCTGAACCTATGGAAGTACAAACTCCTGTTCAAAAGTCAACTCCTAAACCGACTCCAACATTTAAACCAGAACCTACTCCTCAAATAAATCGTAAAACTCCTGCGTTTCCTTACTGAAAAAATAACGTTATTTTTATTTAATATTAAAATTTTTATTTGATTGAAATGACAAATAAAGTCACTGAAGCAATGAAACAAAAGTTTTTGGTAGAATACATTAAATCAGGAACTATTCCAGAAGGTTTTTACATTCATACTATGAAGGATGGTAGAGTTCAGTTTAGAAAGATAAAGCAACCATTAGATAAAGAAGGAATTTTGAGAAAGATTAAACCTCATGAGGACAACATTGCTGAACTTAAGAAGAAGCTAGAAGAGTTGGAGAAAGGAAGAGAGTTATAAAGCAATGAATTCAACAGGGTGAAAAAACAGGTGAAAAAAGAGGTGAGATTTCACCACTTCACCTAAATTTAAATGGATGTTTTCATACGTGTGAGGGTGGTGATATCATTAATTTTTAAGTTTATTTTTTATTTTATTTTTATTTTATTTTTATATAAATGACGAAAACTATTGAGATAACAAACTACAACGGTCATGAGTTCAAGAATTTGTTCTTCGTTCCTCGTGAAAATACATTCTATCAGATACGAGGGAGAAAGGGTAAAGTTAGTTTGAGCATTTATGAAGGAATGAAGAATGGAAAGTTTATACAAGCATACGATACAAACGGTAAACGTGTTTCATTAGCTTTGTCAAAACTTACTAACATTTATTTTGACAGTGACTTTGACCTATATGAAGAAGAAAGTGAGTCAGAAGATTATGAGCTGTTATGTGAAGCACAGCAATGGGAGGAGTTGCAATACTTTTGTAAGTGAGAACGTTTATTTTTTACATTAGTGAAGTCGTTTGTGAAAACGTTAGTGAGGTGAAGTGGTTGGTGGTTTTGTAAATATTTAAGGTTAAGTTAGTGTTGTCGTTTGTGTTGTAAAATATACGTTAACGGTTTTGTAAAGTGTCAAACCCGCTAAGTGGTGTACGAAGGCGCGCAGTGCCTCAGTACACGACTTACCCATACTAACTATATGAACCCGCCGAACTAATTATCCGTCTCATTGAACATGAATTCAATCTTGTTAAAAATGTTTTAACAGGTGATTTTAAATCAGATAATATTATCAAAAATCTAAATGAAACTTTGAAACATTCAGATATGTTTAGCTCGGTATTATATGATCCAATTCAAGAATTATATTATGCAACTTTTGGTCGCTATACATATTGCGTAAAAATTATGTCAGATTCACAATATTCATGCACATGTAAGCACATCGAATTATACGGATTACCTTGTATTCATGTAATCGCCGTATTGAATCACTTTTCGAACAAAAATCTTCTTAAAAATTTGAATGATGCAGTTCATGCTCGCTTCAAATGTTCAGAGTTTATGACTCCTGTGGAAGATTTAATGAAATTTTATGTTGACCAAGCATCTTTAAAAATTCCCGGAATAAATTTCAACCTGCGAGAGATTGAAAAATTAAGGGGAAAAAGGACTAGGATTAAAGCATTTTACGAAAAGTGATGCTGTGTTGTTAGTTATTTATTTACTTTTTTTAATATTTTTAAAAAAAATAAAAGAAAATTCAAATAATTTTGTATCTCCCATGATATATCGACCCACGAGTACTAATGTGGCTATAATTAGAGTGATTTTGTTCTGTAATTTCTAAATTATCCCAACTTGTAATAAAGTATTTAATCAAGTACTCTGCGGAAAATGAACTTCACTGGATACTGATGATTCACAAAGAAAATCTGTGCATAAAAGATGACAATGTTTCCTTTTTTGAAGTTTATGATGGTTTTCAGCTTGTTCTGGGAAGTTGAAACGTATGAAATATCTGACTTCTTCTAAACAGGGTTTGAAATTCTCATCAATTACGTTCCAAAATCACGTATTTCTTTATTTCAATTATTTTTCATCGTTCGAAAAAAAAATTCTTAACATTTGAATACAAACGCTTTTTAAAAAGCGTTTGTATTCATGTTAAGAATTGAAATTTATGACATTTGAGTTAAAATACTCAAATGTAATAAATTTTAAATTTGAATAAAGACCTAAAAAAATGGGCAATGAACAAGCAATGCCTATTCAAAATTTGCCACCTGGTGTAGTTCAAGGTTCGAAACCTGAACTTAGTCCACGTGGAAACAGTCCGTATAAATTCCAGCCAACACACGAAATTTTAATTGCAGTTCGTGGTCAGAGGTCTTCTGGAAAAACAACTCTTGTCAACAGAATTCTTGCAAAACCATTCAACGAGAGTTATGTTGCGACTCCGTTTCTTCAAGCTTCTGAAGTTCCTTTCTCAGCAGACTTTACAAATGGAGAAGTCATAAACCTGAAAGTTTGGGATGTTGTAGAAAAGGCTCTTATTCCTGTTGATGATACAAGTAAGAGTGATTATCCAGACGCTTCTTCAATAGACACATTAAAACGTGCAGACGGCCTAGTAATTCTAATTGATCCTCGCCACAAAGATACTATAACACTTGCAAACAAGATTATCGGAGAAGCTTCAATCGATCTTCCGATTATGGTTTTTTCAAATTTCCAAGACGAAAATGTTGATCCAGTCATACCAGAACTACTCCAGTCTAAGATCGGCAGATTCGGTTTTATACCAGGATCTCTCAAAACAGGTCAAGGACTGAAAGAATTACATAGCTGGATCTCTGTTCCATATATTTACTCGAATAAGAAGCATCTTGAAGCATTACTCAAACTTACATCCGAAGACTTAATCGAAAAGCTTCAACAAGTTAACGAAAAAGTTGTTGATTTCTTGACAAAAGAAACCGCACTTATTTCGATGCCAAAAGTACCACCACCTCCACCAAAACAAGAAGTACAACAGCAGCCATCGCCAAAACCAAAGCCTGTTGAAGAAGAACCAGAACCATTGGCCGAAATCATTGCTATGGACAAGAACGCGAGGAAACAAGAGGTCAAACAACAAGAACAGAAACCAGAAGAAAAGGAACCACGCAGAAAAGCACGCAGAATCATTCACGTTAAGAGAAGAGATTCATCCGACAAAGATCTTACGAAATCTACAGAAAGTGTTGGAGAAGAAACTAAACCATCATCTCCAAAGACAGTTCCTGAGCATCCAAAGCCAAAACCAAAGCCAATTCCTCAGAAAGATGAAAATGATGATTTCTTTGGCGACGATGATGGAAATGATGATGCTATGAAGCTTCCTAGTGACCATGATGATGAAGATATCAAGCCAAATCCACTCGTTCAAGCAGTTCCTCAAAAGAAAAAGGCTCCTGCTCCAATTCAACCTCCTGTTCAAGTCCAACAGCCAAAGAAAGAAGAGAAACCAAAGGTTGATGATGAAAATGATGATTTCTTCGGTGATGATGATGGAAATAACAATGATGATGACATGAAGTTGCCAAGTGATCATTCTGATGAAGAGGAAGTCAAGCCAAACCTATTGGTTCAAGCTGTTCCACAAAAGAAGACACAGAAACAGGTTATTCCTGAAAAACAAGAAAATGAAAAAATTATTGAAGAGCCAAAGCCAGAAATCAAGGTTGAGAAGCAACCAACACCTGTCAATATCCCTGTCGTCAACCAGAAACCTGCCGATAACGATGATTTCTTTGGAGATGACGATGAAGACGATGATGCCCTGAAATTTGACGAAAATGCTGAAGTTAAGCTGAATAAGCTTCCTCCATTGGAACTCCAGACCGTTTCTTCAGAGGAAAAATTCGAAGAAAAACAAGAACAAAAAGTAGAAGAAAAAATTGAAGAAAAAATCGAAGAAAAAGTTGAAGAACCAAAGCAAGAGACAGCACCACGCAAGGATTTGCCAAAGAGAAAGGCTGTTAAGCTGAGAAGAGGCCATCATTAATGTTCATTTGATGTTTTATTATTAAATTTTAATTTTATTGTAGTTTTTTAAAAATTTGATATATTATTTCATCATATTACTTTCTCTAAGCATATGCACTTAATAATTATCTCATTATAAATAACGTTTTAGGTCAATGAACTATGAATAATTATTATCAAATTTTTTTTTCGCTGACTCTTTCAAAAAAAAAATTTATGAAAAATCTTATTTATCATCCTCTTGAATTCTAATAAAATTTTTTGGTTGGGAGGATAGAAAATTGAAAGGTTTGATTATATTTTATGAGAAAGACACGATTATTTGTACAGACATTTCCCATGTAAATTTAGTAGACACAAACCGACGGTTTTCAAACGTTCGGATTGCTCAAAATTGAATGAAAATTTTTAAGGGGGAAAACCCGCCGTGTTCAGAACCAGATGACTTCTGCTATACCAGGCTTCTTCAAGCTTAGCATAGATGAACGCCAGTCTGCGCTTAAGAATATGTTTGACCTCAGTGATCAAGAGGTAGCCCTTTTGAAGTCTACCGAACATGGTCTTACGTTCAAAACTGCAGATACTATGATAGAAAATTGCATTGCAATGCATAGTACACCAGTAGGAGTAGCGACAAACTTCATTGTTGATGGAAAAGAAATCATGATTCCAATGGCCAATGAAGAACCATCTGTAATTGCTGGAGCTTCATTCGCTGCAAAGCTTTGTAGATCTACAGGAGGCTTCGAAACAGCATCAGGAGCTAACATTTGCTCAGGACAAGTTGTTTTGATAGTCCCACCTGATGAAACTGATCCATTGGCTAAAGTTAATGGATTTCATAATGAAATTATTCAAATTGCAAACGGTACAATGCCTTCAATGCTCGCCAGAAATGGTGGAGTCCATGAGGTAGAGGCAAGGCTCATTCAAACTAAGTCAGCTTTAACAGTTAGTGTTGATATTCATATCAATGTTTGCGATGCAATGGGCGCAAACTGCGTTAACACTGCATGCGAAACAGCTCTTAAACATCTTTCCGAAAAACTCAATTGGGAGCCTCTAATGGCTATAATTACGAACCTACCGACAAAAAGATTAGTCCATGCTCAATGCAAGTGGCCAATCAATATACTAGGACAAGGAGGATTCACAGGCATGCAAGTTGCACAAAGAATTGTAGCCGCAGCTGAATATGCCGCAGTGGATCCATCAAGAGGAGCAACACATAGAAAAGGCATCATGAATGGTGTTACAGCTGTTGTTCTAGCTACAGGAAATGATACTCGTGCTGTCGAAGCAGCCGTTCATTCATATGCAACTCAATCTGACAATCCAGCCCTTACAAAATACAGAATTGACAATGGAACAACATTAGTAGGTGAAATATGGATTCCTATTCCAGTTGGCGTTGTCGGTGGCTCAATCAGAAGAAATCCAGACGTAATGTTAATGAGAAAGATGCTTAAAGTAGAAAATGCAGATGAATTGGCAAGAACAATTGCTGCAGTTGGTCTTGCAAACAATTTTGCTGCAATTAGAGCTCTTGTTACAAATGGAATTTGCGCTGGCCACATGAAACTTCATTCTAGGAATATCGCATGTCAGGCTGGATGCGCAGAGAAACATATTGATACTCTTGCATCAAAACTTATAGAATCTGGAGATATTTCAGTACGAAATGCTATAAGAATTATCCAAACATGTCATTTAGTTTAATTATATTATGTATAGTTTGTTATTAATAAATCCGTTGTATACTAGTGTCTTTTAATCTAAATTTTATTTATATTGGTTTTTTTTTTTAAAAATTGATAGCTTTTTCTTATTAGCTTTTATAGGATTTAGAGTTTATGTTATGCAGGGAACGGTAGACACTTAATTTATATCATTTTCAAAATATTTTTTGTTAATTATAAAAGATGAGCAGCCATAAACCATCAGGATGATTTTTATTTGCTATGGTTTTATCAATTCCCTTAGATTTTAAAATCAAATAGCATATTGAAATTTCGTGACCAATTTCATACCTCAGAATGTCAAGCATAACAAGCTTAAAAGGTCCAAATATAACTTTTAAGCATATCTCATACGAAAATGTCCCGGCAAATACGATTTTCTCTCAATGATTGCAAAAGATTTTGCTGATTTTTTAAGATTATGCCTCTTGATGATAATAGTAGCTATTAATCGCCAAGTCAAGTAAAACGATGAAAACTGAAATCATTCTTAGTTGATAGAATTTACAAATCCATTCAATCTCACTTTTTGGTCGGCCACAGTAATGTCTGCCCAGAACACGTCCATCTTCGTAAACAACATCGCCTTCTCTGCCTCCACACAAAACCTTGGTGATGCCTTCGCTGCTATTGCTCCAGTCAAGAGCGCTCGCATCATCACAATGCGCTACAGAGGCAAGATCATGTCTCGTGGATTCGGTTTCGTCGAATTCACAACAAGAGAAGGTCTCGAGAAGGCTCTCAAGGCTGCCCCAGTCAACATCAACGGCCGTGCAGTCCGTGTTACAGAAGCTCGCCCACAAGTTCGCCGTGCCCGCGATACAGCATTCGCTTCTCTTCTCCCAGCCGGTATCACAGAGGATAACCTTAAGAGCTTCTTCGCCAACTACAAGCCAATCAACTGCAAGATTATCACACCACGTGGTGAAGGCCGTCTTCCATATGCCTTCATCCAGTTCGAGAATGAAGAGTTGCAATCCAAGGCTGTCAAGGAGAATGGCAAGTTCTCTATCAACGGATCTAACAGTGTTCTTAGACTCTCACGCCGCCCATTCAATTTTCCAATCCCAAAGCCAGGAAGAACATTCCGCCGCCTTAATCGTGCTCCAACAGCATAGTAAATTAAAGTTTACTAGTTTGTAGCATCCAAAATTTCAATTTTTTCATAACGATATTTCATTTGAAATTATAAATAATTTATGAGACCTGGTTCTAAATTGTAATTTTTATAGAGAACATCAATGAATTATTGAGTTATTTAATGATTTATCCGATTTCGCATAAAATAATATTCGAAATAGAATAATCTGCTTAATAAATCAATAATTTCTATTGATTTATAGTTATTGTATACTAAAAACACTTTCCCAAAAAGAAATTAAATCAATCAAATAAAAGATTCCAGTTTAATTTTACTTGCTATCCAAATCTTTGATACAGGCCATGATAGCAGTAATAGCAATATCGTAAGCACCTTCTTTAAAGGCTTGTTGGGCTATTTGAGCTAATTTCATACATTTAGGATCATCTGAAGCTGTTGGTTCTGGTTCTGGAGCTGGTTCTGGAGTAGTCTGATAATATTTAGAAGCTCCTGGAGCATCCCATGGATTTGGAGGAACTCCAGCGCCTCCAGGTGTTCCAGAAGGAATATCAATATCACCACCAGCATCTGGATAATCAGCACCTTCCTGGCTTGAAAAATCTGTAAGAATTTGAACACATCTATTTAATCTTGCTTGTGTTGATTGTTTCATTGCGCCATAAGCTGATGTAGCAGAGAAAGCGATATATGCAAGTTTGATGAGATCAATTTTGTTCTGACTTGTTTCTGCTGCAATTAAAATTTTACTTCCGAAGGAATCGAGAGTTTCGGCATCTGCGCATGGCTTGCCGTTAATTTTGCCGCGAATAATATTACGAGCTGCAAGTCCATCTGGATCTTGCACACCAATTGAAATCATATATTCATCAATTAACATGGCACCATAGTTTGCAAAAGCTACAGAAATTGTTGGGCATGTCTTCTCAAGCATTTCTGCAAATTGAAGAACTGATTGCAATCCAGGAACAGTCTGGGCGTAATTTTCGTCAACAGAGAAGTATGTCATTTAATTTTTAAAAGTGACACTTCACCGCGATGGAAAAGTGACATTAATTTTTATAGAGATGAAAAATTTATCACCGTGTACAAGGTTTACTTACAGCTTAAATGAATAAGCTATAGAAAAGTTTTATAAGAAGAAGAATAATAAGCATTAAAAACTACTTGGATATAAAGATAAGATCAGATTTTTATTTTCAAAACAAATCTAGAGAAAACTATATGTCTGGCATACTTGAAGGATATATAGGAGCAATTTATTTTGTAAATTCCTAGTAAAATAATTATTCAAATTTGAAATGAAAAGTTAATCTTAGTTTTTAGCTATTCTGCGTATGCTGCATTATATATTTATTAAAAGAAACTTAACAGTTGGAAACATTTCCAGAAAATTCGTTGTGAATTTGTTCTTCCTTTTTGAGAAATATATTTCTGGTTAGTTTGGCATTCAATTCATGACATTGTAGATAATTCTCTACAATCTCATTCTGTTTGATTTTTGTATAGAGGAAATTTCGATTATCAGTAAATAAGTTTGTATTTTAGACTTCTCATTACACTTTTTGGGAAGCAAATTCGAAGTTATAGTTTTGACTCAATTTCACTGCATTCTGATCTGATTTGAAATTTATCGAGAAAGTCCAATTGGAATTATTCGTTGAATTCTTGGATTTGAAACTTACAGCTTGTATATTTGTAGATGAGATTAAATTTTGAAGATTTTGATCTAATTTAATTTTTTCATTTGCCATTAGCGATGTATTTAAAGATGGTGGTATTGTTAGTCTTATTCTATGATGTACTTTCTTTTCCACTTTCGCTTTCGGTATGTTTTTGACTTTTGCTGAATTTAAATTTTTATTAATTGATAATGGAAGCTTTTTTGGTGGTAAATCATCAATTTTGGTAATTGTATGCTGATTTTCGCTAGGTGTTTCTTTGGTTATAGATGATTCTAATTCTTGCAATATATTTCTGCCTTTTTCTTGTGTTTTGAACAATTGTTGGTAATATTTGTTATCATAGTCTATAATACGTTTATTGTCATCTAGTATTTCTATGTTTTGAGTATCATTATATTTAATTTTCCAATTATTACTTGAACACTCAAGGAGTTTGCCCTTAAATATATCATATCCATTAGTATCAAGAACGAAAATATCGGTTCCCAGCTCCAAATTTTTGATACTGGTTTCCATGCAATCATCGACTAACATCAAATAATGAATTGATTCAAAGTTTAACAAGTCGATGGTAATTCAAAGAATTGAATGAATATAAGTCTGCATTCAAATTGATTTGAATCAAGTATTCATAAAATTATCGAAATTTGGAAAATATTTAAGCATTTCTAGTATGGATTGGTTTACAAATTTCCAAGAATGCTTCATCCATAATGGTTGATCTCCAAATTCATATTCGTTGAGAATTTGAATTTTGAAATTAAAGAATGTTCAAAGATAATTGTATTTTTGTTTTAAATTAGCATGTGTACTATTTAAATTTTTACTCCAATTTGAAGACAATCAACATCGTATCATAAAAAAATTTGAAAACGTTATAATCAATTCAAAACTAAATTCTGATGAAAGCTTATGAGCAAATCAAAGTCCTTGGAGAAGGTGGATTTGCCAAAGCTTTTCTAGTGAAGAGGAAAACTGATAGACTATTGTGTGTTGCAAAATCAGTAAAATTATCAGGTTTATCTGAAAAAGAGAAGAAAGAAGCCATTTCAGAAGTCAATGTTTTGTCAGCACTCAAGCATCCAAACATTGTTCGATATATCGAAAGTTTCAATGAAAGCGGATTTTTGTATATTATCATGGAATACGCCGACGGTGGCGATTTATCACAGAAAATCGAGAAGAATGGACGTAAATCATTTTCAGAAGACGAAGTATTAAGAATATTTACTCAATTAGCACTTGCAATTAAATATATTCACGATAGAAAAATTTTACATCGAGATTTGAAAGGGCAGAATGTATTTCTTATGAAGGACGGCTCTGTTAAACTCGGTGATTTTGGTATTGCTAAAGTATTAGATCATACTATGCAATTTTATAACACACAGATAGGAACTCCTTATTATTTATCACCAGAAATGTGTCAAGGGAAAAACTACAACTCTAAAACAGACATCTGGTCATTCGGATGTATCATGTACGAGATGTGTACTTTGCATCATGCATTTGAAGGTCGAAATATCAACAATTTGTTGTTCAATATAGTTCGAGGTAACATAACACCAATTAGTACCCAATATTCAGCAGACTTACGTAATCTTATCAACTCAATGCTCTCTAAAGATCCAAAATTAAGACCAACAGCTACAGAAATCGTTAAGAAACCAATAATTCGTAACAGACTTACTACATATTTATCAGAGTTCCAAGTTAACAATGAGATGTCACATACAGTTCTTCATGGAATGAATCCATTGAAACAAAATTTAAATTTCGAAGAACCAATGAAAGCAATTCCAGAAACGCCGGTTGATAAACCAGACATAAGACAACAAGAGAAAGAATTGGAACTTCTTAAACAAAAAGAAAAAGAAAGAGAAAGATTAAGAGAAGAAGAAGAAAAGCGAATGAAACAATACAAAGAAATTGAAGAAAAAGAAAGATTAAGGGAAGAACGAAGGAATAAACCAATGACAGAAATAGCTAAAGCCAGACAAGAAGATTCAAGACAAGCAGCTTTAGACAGAGAAGAAAAATATCGACAAAAGATGGCCAAATTCGCAAATAAAAATCAAAATCAGAATCAAAACTATGGAAATCGATATGTCAATGATCCACAACCAAAGTCACCTTACAATGTAAATCCTTCACCTCGATACGATAATCAAACACAAATCAACAAAAACCAACAGAATGTTTATGCAAATAAATATGATAAACCTTCTCCAAGTTATGAAAATCAAAATAACAAAAAAGCATCCCCTGTTTCCGAACAACCTGTAAAATCACCAGCATATAGACAATTTCCTCTTCGATCTCCTGCACAAGAAAAAGTTAATGACAATCAACAACAAAATCGTCATTATTCACCAGAAGCACAAGTTTATAATGCAGTTAATCGACCATTGAATTCAGAAGAACGAAGACGGCTTGAACTTATCAAAGCACAAGAAGAAAACGCTCGAATGGCACAAGAAAAGCGATCACGTGAAGAACAAGAAAAACTTCGAGAACTTGAACTTGAACGCGAAGCAGAAATTCAACGTGAACAGATTTATCAGCGACAACAACGAAAGTATCATCCTGTTGAAAAACCAATTAACAAATACGATCCAATCGAAGAACAAAGAAAGAAACTTGAACAAGAAAAAGCAGAAGAAGAACGAAAAAGGAAAGAAAGAATCGAATACGAAAAAGAAAAAAATCGTATGCGAAAAGATTACGAAAACAAAGAGAGACAGAAACAAATTGAACTTGCGAAAGCACAAGAACAAGCTCGACAAGCATGGATCGAAGCACAAGAAGAAGCTAAACGATTGAAGAAAGAAGCGAACGAAAAGAAGCGTAAAGAAGCAGAAGAATATCAAAAGAAAATTGAACTCGAGAAACAACAAAGGGAAAAAGAGAAATTACTTCGTCAACAATCAGAGAAAGAACAAGAAGCTAAATATTATCAAATGCAACTTCAATACGAAGAAGAGAAAGAAAATAAAGCGCGACAACTTCGTGAACAAAAGCAGAAAGAAATTGCAGAACGACAAGAACAACAAGAACGACTTCGTAAACAACTTGAAGAAAACGAAAGAATTAAACGCGAAGAAGACAACCAAAGATTACTAAGAAAACAAATTGAAGAAAAAGAAAAACTGAAACGAGAAGAAGAAAATCAAAGAATTTTAAGAAAACAAGAAGAAGAAAATGAGCGTATTAAATTATTGCTAAAGAAACAAAAGGAAGAAAATGAGAGATTCGAACGAGAACAAGAAGAAAGAAGACAAATGAAAATCAAACGAAGGAAAGAAGAAATATTAGAAAAAGAAAATCAAATTAATGTCAAATTTTACAATGATAATGAAAATAATAATGAGAATTATAATAAAAATTATAATGAAAGACGTAACAAAATTCAAAGTGATGATAGTGATAGAAAGCGATTATATCAAGATGAACACGAAAGACTAAGGAGGGAAGAAGATGAGAGAATGAAGAGACAAAGGATCGAAGACAGACAACAAGAAGAATCTCATCGAATCATGAATCAAATTCAAAAACTTCAAGATCTGCAAAAGTTACCAATTCAAATGCACAGTGATCCCGACTCCGCTCCAAGCAGATACAGAAAACCACAAATCGCAATTGGTCTTAAACCAAAAGTATCTCAACTATCAGTCGACAAGAATCAACGACATTCTAAGATCAAAGATTCATTTTATGAAGATTTTAATGAACGAAAACCATCATGGGCTAAAGAACGAATTAAAAGCGAAGCAGAGTTGTTGCAGCGACAGATCGAAGAGAAACGAATTCGACAAATTGGCGGCAATGATATCAATATTGAAGATGTTCGACAATTCCAACAACAACGAGCTCAAGAAATTGAACAATCATATTTAGATGGATTGAATGCTGACAAACAAATTGACAATGGTGACTTCAATGATTCAGGTCCATCTAAGTTTTATGATGGTGACCGTGAAGTTGATCTTCCTGTTGCAAATGACAATGATTCTATGCTTCGTAGAGCAGACAGAATCAAACGAATGATTATTAATAAAATCGGTGAAGATAAGTTTGTTAAATTACGAAAAGAGATGCTTGATGAATCACCTCCATCCGTCATTCATCATACCGATATTGTTTCACAAATGCTTATGCAACAACTCATCTGTCTTGAAGACAACATACCACGATAAACTATTTTATAATAAAACTGTTTGTATTTTTATATTAAAAAATCTTTTTGGTGCTTATTTCTTTCCATTTTCTAATTAAGGGTGCCGGAAAGTGAGGTGACGCGAGTATTGCTCATAACTTCATTTGTAGTAAAGATATTAATGATATTGAAACATATATTAGTAGTGTATATACTAATGTTTTTATTTCTATGATATTGAGGTCTTGGATACTTCCAGTATGAAGAAAACTGTTTCGCAATTTTAGAACTTGCGGACCTATATAGTCCCTGGTTATTCCATGGCAGGGGCTGATACTGCAGGAATGATATCTAGGTACAAGATACTAGATATTTTATAGAAAACATTTGGCACTTGTTAAAAAGTGTCGAGATGCAATTAGTGGGTAACTTCAAAACTAAGACCTATTGCACAACCATCTCACTGGATTCTGTATCTTCTCAATTTTTTAAGGGTGCCGGAAAGTGAAGTGAAAGCTATTATAAAAACAACACTTTTCAAACCCATAAAATCATTTTTATTTTGTTTTGTTTATATGTGTATAAACCTTAAGTGATGATGTATCATAGTATCATATTCAAACTAAGTGAAAACGATGTTTATGATTATAAGGTTATCGAAAACATACAAAATCATACAAAATTTTTAAAATCTGGAAGGGAAAAGGTGCATTTATCTCAACATATGAGAATTGAAAATAAAATTTGTTCTGTAAAGCTTTTAGTATAACTATTGAAATTTAGTGTTTAATGTATCTCACTGGCTTAGACACATTATTGGAAGACTAGATACAAATCTAATTAAGCTTTGAATGAGACAATTTCGACTGGAAACCACTACCATTGAGTTTGTTCCCTAAAGGTAATTAGCAGAATAGGATATAAATAATAGTTAAATTCACACAGTCAAGAAAGCAGTAATCTGAAATATTAAAAAAATCTTTTCAGTGTTTTTTTTAACTTAGCATCAATCTATGTGTCTACGTGGTTACATTCAATTTGTTACAGATCAATCTGTGTCGAACCTCTCAATTTTATCATTTTTCATCATATTGAAAGAATATTTAAAAGAAATTCGAGCAAGAAATGATGCCAAATTTGATTTAAATGATTAGAAACAGCATGCAATTGCTCTGTCTAATAGCAATACTTTGTAAACTCATGCAAATTTGGCCCAAATTTATAGTAAACACGGAGACATGCAGGTTGGTCTAGACTGGTCACTTTTTAATAAAATTTAAGGTTCCTATAAAATTTTCAATTCGTAATGAATGTCTGGATTCGTTGGAAATATAAAATGTATTGAAGAGTTAAGAAGATTTCATCGATATGGAGACCCTAATGATATTTGGCTTCATTATTATGCAGGAATTAGTCCTCCTTCTAAAGTTATTCAAGGTGAAAACCAGAACGTTACAGCATCCAATAGAAAATGCTTCACATATATATGTGTGTTCACAAGCATACAAGATATAGCCATCAAATTCCAAGATATTTCAGATTATTCATTTTTACTTTGTGAAAACATTTTCAACAAAGGTCCAGGTACAATACATATAAATAGCTCTAGTAAAAATGACATTATTATTGATAAATTTTGTTCGTTTGAAAGTAAAACTCCAACAGAAGGTCATTTTACTTATTTCGAAGGCAACATCAACAGTACAATCCTCCGATGATCAATTTCTAATGGAGGAGATAGATCTACTTTTGTGGGAATGATTTTTCAATACCAAGGTTTATCAACTCTTTCGAAAACAAACATTTCTAACTGCGTTTCATTCTGGTCAACAGCTTTTCGTTATTCGGAAGCTACATTAACAACAAATGTTTCATTTTGTAATTTTGAGAATTTAGAAGCTGGGAGTATAATCAATTATTTTAGTTTCTGTGATGGAAGAATTGAAAGATGTAATTATGTTAACAACTTCCAAACGCAGTGGAATTATGGATTAATTTTTGCTGATTCAAAAAGACTTGATATTTATGATTCAGTTTTCCAAAATACTCTAACAGTTGAGCGTGTACCAATATTTTATGCTTTTGGCGGACAGATTTATATATATCGATGTAATTTTGATGAATATTTCGCTTCTTCTGAATCTAGTGGATTTGTTGATAATTCAAGTATATCAACAGATCCATTTTCTAATGACTTAGAGTTCAATGAGTTTCATCGTGTGAAGGAGATATATAATATTGTTTGTCCGAATCAAAGAAAATAAAATATGTTCATTATATTCATTCAGAAATTTCTTTTTTGGAAAATATTTTGTACCATTTTTGTATACAAGTTAAAAAGTAAAAAAAAGTACATATAAAAAAATCAACGACATTGGAAGATTAAAGATGCATTTTATTAAAAATGGCAATGATCGAAAACTATCATGGGATAAAGAACGAATTAAAAGCAAATAAATTGCAGGAAATAATATCTATAATAAATATAATATAGTCACTTTTTGAGTAGGGACGACGATTATAAAGTGAATATTTCTAAGCCCGTAAAAAGTGTCAAACTTATTTATGAATATTTTTGATTGTTAAGATTACAAGGCTTAAAGTGATTAGGATTCCATAAATACGAATATAATTTAACTGAATCAAATGCAATCATACTATATTGAAACAGACATACCTTAACGCTATCAATTGATTACATTATTAAATAGGAAAGTTAATTTAGTATATAATTTGCATAAAACCGATTTATAATTAGACTTTGATAAAATATAAGTGAACTATATATAGATAAATGCATGGATATGAATTTGCCTAGATATTTTCCAAAATGAACATATAAACTAAACTGTTAATATAGAGAATGTGCACAATTCTAAATGTATAGTTTTTGACAAACAGAATCTCAGAAACAAAAATATTCAAAACAATTAAAATAATGTAAAAAGAAGTGTAATATAGTATTATTTTTATCATTTACTAAGGTATTTCCAGAAAAGACTGGCAGATGTATTGCATATGGATTTCACTCTTCGAAAATCATATGATTCGTATATTGCGACACATGAAAAAATTATTCTTCGTGGAATTCCTGATTGAGAAAGCATATTAATAAATTTATGCGATATATCCTCAATAATAATAGGACATTGAATGTTTTTACATTCATTAAATGCAAGATATTGAACTGTTTTAATTGACATTGGAAAGTTAATATGTTTGAGATTTTGGCATTTGTTAAATGAAAATGATTCAATCAAAGAAACGCTATTAGAAACAATACTTATGTTTTCAATATTGTTACTATAATTGAATGAATAACTACAGATAACACTACAGTTTATTGAAAGAAATGTATCTTCTGAATTTCTTAAATGAAAGATAAGACTGATATTTGATCCATTTATATAATATATAGTGTTATATGTACAAATATATTTCAATGATAAAAAATCACTAATATTTCTAAGAGAATCACATTCTGAAAATGAATTAATTGATATTTTCTCAAGAGAGTTTGGTGACTCGAATATAATCGAACTGAGATTCTTACAGTTAATGAATGCATATTCTGATATAATTCGAACAGTTGAAGGAATATTGATGATTTCTAATGAATAACAATTCTCAAATGATCGAATTCCAATGAGCTCAGAACCATCTCGGATAGAAACTTTAGTTAAATTCACGCAGTCAAGAAAGCAGCTATCAGAGGTATTATTGATATTACTTATATTAACAAGTTTATTGCAGTTTTCAAACAAATTATCATTCAAATTATCATTCACTTCAAAATTTGTTGTTGCAAAATTGACAAATGCTAATTCACTGCAATTCTTAAATACAGAATATCCTAAATAACTTAATTTGGTAGAAGTAAAGTCAAATGTATTTATCTTTGAACAATTTAGAAATGCATTATCTTCAATCACAGAAAGTTCTGAATCAGCTTCAAAATCAATTTTAGGAATTGTTGAGTTTTCAAATGCATTTTTTCTGATTTTTGTAACTTGTTTAGGAATTGTAACATCATTATAGTTATATCCATAATATTCATAAATTTCTGTTTGAATAGAGTTCATAATCAATGCAATTGGAGTGATTATTAGATTAGGTTCATTCAGATATGAAATCGAAACATTAACATTTCTGGAAATTGCACTCTTATCAAATAGAACTTTGTAATTGAACAAAATATTTGCATTTTTTACATATTCTGATATTAATAGATAAGATTTTGTAATAGTTGCAGAATTATTGAAAATAAAGAGTTCAAGATTATTGCAATTGTCAAATACTCCAATCTCAAAAGAATAAACAGATCCTAAAAATGTAACATTTTTCAAATTGTTACAATTTTTAAAAACATAGTAATCTATTGTTGTTACATTTTCAAGAATTGTAATTGTGACAAGTTTTGATTGATAGAAACTATTCCTTCCTAAAATAGTTACATAATTAGGAATTTCATATGTTTGAAAAGATCTATTGCAAAAAAAGAACAAAGTGCTTTTATCAGCAGAAAAAACAGTATTATTTTCAATAATTAGATAATGATTATCACGATGAATTGTAAGATTTGTTATTGTTAAATCACTAAATAAATCTCCATCGACTTTTTTACAATTTTGTGGAATTTCAAATGATTTAATCGCAGTGAATTTAAAGATTGAATCAAGCTGAGCTAGATTTGAACCTTCTTCAAACGTAACGTTTTCTAATTTTTTACAATTAGTAAATGCTTCATTATCTATCTTATTTACTGAAGCTGGAATTATTATACTGGAAATTTCTTGATCACCAGAAAATGAATTTACTCCTATCTCAAGGAGTCCTTTGGGTAAATACAATTCAACACATTTTGGGCATGAATTAAATGCATGGTTAGATATTTTTGTGAGTTTTGTACACATAGACAAATTAATTTGAATAAGATTTGTGCATGAATAAAATGAATAAGCTTCAATTGTCGCTAAATTAGGATTTTCTTCAAATGTGAATGAAATTAATGAATTTAGTTTGCTAAAGCAATTATCTTTAATAATTTCACATTTTGCAGATATTCTGAGGTACTGCGATGTATCACTAACTTTGTTAAGTGTTCTATAGTCGCTTGAATAGCTACTTTGGTGAATATCGGTGTATTGGATTGTCATTTAGGAAATTACTAAGAATCAAATCTGTTCTCTTAAATTATGTCTGGTATTATTGAGGCAGAAGAGACAAATCAAACATAAAGAATCATCCACTAAGTCAATAAAGCGTTCTGGAAACTTTGAAACTATGGCCAATCCATTTTAGAAAAAAAGACAAAATTATTCATAAATTTTAAGCATGTAATATTTTTTCAGTCAGAAAGTTCGTCAACAATTATTTCCGCTTAAATATGATGATAATAATTTCCAGATAAATTTAACAAAGCAGCCAAGCCTAATCCAAAGATACAAGATCAGTTACTTGTGTACCACATGTGAAATATCAATAACATTCCATCCAAAAAAAATCGTTTATAGGCAACAGTAAAATTTAAGTTAAATCAAAATAAAGCATGTAAAATTGGCCTATCATATTGATCGTAAGATCAAAAATATTATTCAGCAAACGCAATCTCGAGAAATCTAGATATTCTCAAGTGAAGTCTAAAGAAATTGCTATTTTGAATAGAGCATATTTTTAATTCGCCAAATCAAGACAAAATTCTGATTATGTTAGCGATGATTATTTGTTCTTTCCAAAAAATATTTTGAAAAACTGTAAGGATTTTAACAATAAGCTTAAAGCGCATGTTGTTTGTAAGTCTCATTACCAACAATCACACGCGATCGTAGTATTTATCATTTACAACACTCCTTTTGTGAGCAACTTTTGGGAAAATTTTAAAAATTTTCATAATTTTATATGATCGATTATAAAATTATACATCAATTATTATTTGAGAATTTCATTTTTTGAATACTGATTATATCGTCTTATTCTATTAAAATTGTGTCTTGTTCTCCATCGAAATTTTTATTTAAAATTTCAAATAGTGAAGACAATAAATCGACGTTTTATTTTTCTTGGTTTCAAAAATTGAAATAAAAATTTTATTATGTTAATAAAGCCTATTGTTATAACATCCTGTTACGTGGCTTTCCGAATTAATCAGAATGCGAACTATTCTTAAGATAACATTGAGCGTCGATACAGGAAGTTTGGTCAATTCGCAATCCAAAAAGTGTCGGACTTTCTTCAGAAATTTTTCAGGGCCAACGACGAAATCATTTTTATAAGATGGCTTGCAAGTCACCTGAGGGAGCTCCATTTGAGTACAGAATTGCTGATATCAACCTCCACGTCCTTGGCCGCAAGGAACTTACCCTTGCAGAAAAGGAAATGCCAGGTCTCATGGTTCTCCGTGAGCGCTATTCTGCCTCTAAGCCTTTGAAGGGTATCAGGATTTCTGGTTCCCTTCATATGACAGTCCAGACTGCCGTCCTCATCGAGACACTCACAGCTCTCGGTGCTGATGTCAGATGGGCTTCCTGCAATATCTTCTCTACTCAGGATACAGCTGCAGCCGCTATCGTTGTTGGCAAGGAAGGCACACCAGAAAAGCCAGCAGGTATCCCAGTTTTCGCTTGGAAGGGCGAAACCCTCCCAGAATATTGGGAAAATACATACCGCGCCCTCACATGGCCAGATGGCAAGGGCCCACAGCAGATCGTTGATGATGGTGGCGATGCTACACTCCTCATCCAGAAGGGCTTCGAGTTCGAAAACGCCGGAGCAGTTCCAGATCCACAGAAAGGCGACAACTACGAATACACATGCGTCCTCGCTGTCCTCAAGCAGGTCTTCAACCAGGACAAGAACCACTGGCACACAGTCGCTGCCCAGATGAACGGCGTTTCCGAAGAAACAACAACAGGCGTTCATCGTCTTTACCAGCTCGAGAAGGAGGGCAAACTCCTCTTCCCAGCCATCAACGTTAACGATGCTGTTACAAAGTCTAAGTTCGACAACATCTACGGCTGCCGCCATTCTCTTATCGACGGCATCAACCGCGCATCTGACGTCATGATCGGCGGAAAGACAGCTCTCGTCATGGGCTATGGCGATGTCGGCAAGGGCTGCGCTCAATCCCTCCGTGGCCAGGGCGCTCGTGTTATCATCACAGAAGTCGACCCAATCTGCGCTCTCCAGGCTGCCATGGAAGGCTACCAGGTCCGCCGCATCGAGGAAGTCGTCAAGGATGTCGATATCTTCGTTACATGCACAGGAAACTGCGATATCATTACAGTCGATATGATGGCTCAGATGAAGGACAAGGCTATTGTCGGCAACATCGGCCACTTCGATAACGAAATTGATACAGAAGGCCTTAAGAACTGCCCAGGCATCAAGCATATCCCAATCAAGCCAGAATACGACATGTGGGAATTCCCAGATGGCCATGCTATCCTCCTTCTCGCTGAGGGCCGCCTTCTTAACCTTGGCTGCGCTACAGGTCACCCATCTTTCGTTATGTCAATGTCATTCACAAACCAGACACTCGCTCAGCTCGACCTCCTCGAAAAGAAGGGCAAGCTCGAGAAGAAGGTTTACACACTTCCAAAGCATCTCGATGAAGAAGTCGCTCGCCTCCACCTCGGATCTCTCGATGTCCACCTTACAAAGCTTACACAGAAGCAGGCTGACTACATCAACGTTCCAGTTGAGGGTCCATACAAGTCTGATGCCTATCGTTATTAAATTGAATAAAATAAGGTAAAGTTTGAATTAATATTTTTTCTAATATAAGATAACATTAACTCTTATTTGATAATAAGATTGTTTTATCAATCAAGAAGGAATCATGAAAGAATTTGCTAATTTTATATTAATTTGAATCTAGATTTTTAGATGTTAAGTAATGTATTGTGATGAAAACTCTAAGCTGTGATAAAAATACATTGGCAACATGATAGCTCTCAGCTTGCATCCATGATTTGCTAATCGAATTTTGCTGGTCAATCTAATTGAGAAATATCAAAGCATGGAAATAGATTAGATTCTTTCTGTATAAGCATATGTATTATGTTTCTTACATACAAAGGCTAACCTATAAAAGATTTTAATCAAATTTTTGGAGATATATGAATATTTTTGTATGCCTATCCATTAAAGAGCTAAAACATATGATTTATGATATTTTAATTTTTCATAAATAGAGTATTTGAAGTTGAAAACTGCTATTATTTTTGATAATTTTTGAATTTTTTCAAAAATTTGGTTAGAAAAACGCAAAAATTCATGATTTTTAAAACTAGGGCAAACATAATTTAGACAAATTCTTTGTTTTCAATATTATAATGGTCTAAAATTAGACTTATACTGTCATAATTTTTATAATCTTGCTTTAAATTTCTTACAATAGTGAAATATTGAACATTTATATATTTTAACATAATTTGATAGAATACTTACCAAACTAACAATAAGAATAATACTAAATTGAATATTTATTCAAAATATAGCACATTGTCATGAGATCATAATAAGAACACAATCACTCATCCTCATGATATAAACTTTGACGAAGGTAAATAGACTACAATCTTTCTTTAATAATAGATGGTGCTTTCTTGATCGATATAGATCAATAACAGGCGCATGTAAAGAAAGAAGTTACACTAATTTGATTTCACTTGTATATTGGAAGTTTGGCGTTCCAGAATAGTTTAATTCTCGGATACATGAAACCTATTAAAGATGTTTGCAAAAGCAAACGATCACATGGCTTCATAATCCGATATACGCTGCATGAACTAGATATTTAAATGAATTACAGTTAATTATTTTGTATTAATTTTGTATATTTAATGTGGTTGGTTCTTGGTCGAATTTACCTTGATAGATGAAACAACTACATTTCTTTTATGCGTTTTGCTTAAGTGTTTTTCAATATGTTCTTTAATTTCATTGATTGAGTGGACATTTTGAGATAATCTTCTATCTAAATCAGAAACTTCTTCTAGAAATTGTGTATTTAAGCGTTCATCCTCGCTTCTAAGCTTTTCAGTTTCTCTGGCGTATTCTTCTTGTTCTTTTTTGAGCTGAGCCATGTAATCTTTAACTTTTCGTTCCCCTTCAGCTATTACTCGTAATCTTTCTTGCTTAACTTCTTCAATTTGTCGTTTTAAATCTTCAATTCTACTACTATTGTCAGAATTAACTATTTTATATGATTTCGAACCTTTCTTTGAGTATCCTTTGTATGAAGGTACATATTCACCTCTAAGCTTCCTTCTGACATAATCTTCTCTTTGTAATTGTTTTTGCTGCAATTGGAGTAAATATTTTTCGTTAAACAAACCATACTTATCTGTATTAACAGTTCCATATTGTGTTTCACCTACAAAGTCAGGAGTTCTTAATAAAGTATGCGTTTCATGAAACATTTTTTTTTCTTGAGAAAAAATTCAAAACTGACATTGTAAATTATACAACAAAAAATCGTTATCTTCTCAAAATTATTTTTTATTTCCTCTATTTTTTATTTTCGATTTATTCTTAATAACAGAAGGCTATGCATCCACACATATATTGGCAAGTGGAACAGGCTCTTCCTAAAATGCGTGTTAAAACACAATTAAAGCGCGGTAAATCATTATATGGTAAAAATTTGAAAGAAATTATTGTGGCTGCAGGACGTATACCATTATCAAGCGATAAAAAAGAAGAAGAAAGCACTACAGATCAAGAAAGTATTAGTATAAAAGAGAAAGTTCCTAAAATTAATTCGAGTGGAAATATTAGATTAAATTTAAACTTTGATTCGTCGGATTCTGGTCTTTCTTTAAGCTCTTTCCATTCTAGAAGGAGAAATAGGCGAAAAGGGCTCGCAGCTTCTCAACAATTTTTCAATTTAGATCTCAACAATCCAAAAATCACACGTAACAATTCAGATGTATTCAACAATTTAATTCACCAAGATGTTTCTCGAGAGCTTCCTTTACCACCAATTTCAGAAGACCACGAAGAAGAAAGAATTCCATTGAATCACAGCACAATTACAACAGAAGAATTAGATACTAATAGTGGATTGATTCCACTTGGTGCCAGTGGCGATTACAATATAAGTAACACGGAATTAGTATTTCAACTTAACGCAAACGTCTCTGACATATCAGGTGATGAAATGCCTCTAGCAAGCATTATTAAAATTCCATCAGCTGGCATCTTTGCAAGTGATACTTCAGATGATAATACAACATCTCAACAACCTAGTGTTCCTCCATCACCAAAAACACCATCATCATTATCAATGACTTCTGATATGGATGTTTTTATGCGTTTCAAGAGAAATGGAATTGATACAAAACAAAATGAACTTTTAGATCGAGATATGTTTTCAGATGATTCAGATTCCGTCAAAGTAGAGAAGAAACAGAATACTATATCAAGATTTATGCTTGAACCAGAGTTTACTCAAGAAGATACAGAAAGATTGAGATTAAGAAATAAACATCACAAAAGATTTACAGCAATGATGAGCATGTATAAGAAGAAGCATCGCAAACTTAAGAGTTCTGTCGTAAACAATGATGAAGACGAAGAAAACGTAAAAAAGAAAGGAAAAAAGCATCACCATCATGAAGAACCAGAGATTTTCAAGGATGATGAAGATGCTCCACCTAGTCCCAAGCCAAATAAGTTAAGAAGGGATCATAACTACGGCCATCACAAATATTTGAAGAATATATATTAATTTTTTTGTTTGAATTAAATATTATCATTTTAAATATAACAATCTGTGTTTAATTTTTAAGTAATGCTTTTTGAATCATAATTCGGGATCAAAACATAAATTAATAGTTGATTAGCTTATTTACGCGACACTACTCAAATATATTCAAACTTGCAAAGGTATTACATCAGTAAATCTCATATTAAAATCATAAATAAAAAAATTCATTAGGAATATTCAAAATATCGAATAAACAAATTAAGAGATCTCTTAAAATTCTGCAATATAAATGGATCTAAGGGTAAATTTTAGTTATTAATCATGATAATTTTTTTATTTTTTTGATGAAATCAAAAACAAACTTTAACAAACATTAGATATTATTACTTTCGAGATGGACAATCCGATATAATGCAATCATCACATTGAGGCTTCTTTGCTTGACAAATTTGTTGGCCATAGTAATAGAAGGCTTGAGAAGCATCCTTCCAAAGATCTTTATCAATAATTTCACTGAGTTTTTGAGATGTTGCGTTTGGATTATTAGTTTTAACAAAATGAAGTCTATTTGCAAGGCGATGAACGTGAGTATCCACTGTTATTCCTGTGCTTTCATTCCATGCTTCTGACATTATCAAATTAGCGCATTTCTCACCGATTCCAGGTAATTCTAATAACTCTTATTTTGTTTTAGGGATATCACCATCATATTTTTCGAGCATTGTTTTAGATATATCTTTAATATTCTGTGCTTTCCTTTTTCTGAAGCTAACCTTTGTAATACATTCCTCAATAACACTTTTATCTGTTTTCAACATGTTTTCGCATGATAAACCACCTTCTATTTTCAATAGATTGCTTAATGCAGCATCAGCAATAGCATCAGTCGTTCTTGCACTGATCAATGTAGCAACTAATATCTGAAATCTTACTTTTTTCTTATCTTCTGGTGTAATGTTATGGGTCAATTCGGAATAATTACTGTCTTTGATATGTTCTTTTGTCCATTTGATCAACTCTTGAAGTTGTTTTGTTTGATTCGAATCCATTTAGCCAAAATTGAGAAAAAATGTAATTATCTAATGAAGTCTTTTACAAAACAGATTTTAATATTAATTTCAATTTCTGATAGTCTAAAAAATTTCAGAAAAAGAAAAAAATTAATGGAAGCTTTCTATGACGAATATCTCAAGATTTTAGGGGCTATTCGATATACTGCTGGCTCCATCTGGTATAGAGACCTCAAGCGGCAAATAACAGAAGTCGAGCAGTACATTCAGTCAAAACCTCAAAATTTTGATCTGAAAAAAGCCCTTGTTCCAATATGGACGGCCATGGACCAGAACCCAGTATTCCAAAACATTGTTCTTGAAGGTCTAACAACTGTTTGCAAGCTTCAGAAGATTCCAGCTCTCGTTTTCTTAAAAATTATCGATGTTTTAAACAAAATACAGCCAAATCCACAAGACGGATCTATTCCAAAAATGTGCGAACTTGCATTGGCACTGTATAGAAATCACAATGCTCAATACACTCTTCATGGTTTGTATCTTCGTAATTTTTTCGGTGTCTTTTTCAAAATTTTTTCGATAATTGAGCAGCCAGATCTTCTTGCTGGCGTACGCGATGTCATAAAAGAAATAACAAACAATCTTTTCCAATCATATGGTCAACCAGTACCAATTAAGCGATCAGCCAACATGTCAACCTATGCAAAAAATATCGTATACACTCTTTCACAAAATTCCGCTCACATTCGGAAATTCTTACGTCCTGTTATCACTACAGGAGATTATTCAGTTACTATCTACGATTGTGACTTATACGTCTTACTTAGTTTGATTGCCAAATGCATAGAGGCTCGTGTAAACATCAATTCAAGCCGCTATTCCTTAGTTGTTCTGTTATATGCATTTGATGTTCACGGAAACAACGCATTTTTCAAGTCTACCACCTTCAAATATCTTCTACAGAACCAACTTCACGTTGCCTTCCTCTCAATGTTCTTAAAAGGCCAAATTGAGCATCAATTTTCGACAGTTTCGATTCTAAAGACTGTTTGGTCTAAGTTTGCCGATTTCTATCAAGATGGTCTATACGAAATCCTTACTAAAGGATTAGCAACAACAATGAAATCTCCCGACCCAGAAATTGTTGCCCACGCGTTAAAAGTCTACCACGAAATGTCAACATTACCCCAGTTTTTCGTTGATATCTTCGTAAACTACGACTGTGACTGCAATGGAATATATACCAACGCATTTCAAGACTGTTTTGAGAAGATTGTGTCCTTATCGTATCCGGATATGCCTGTTAGACAAGACCAGCTCGACGCTCTTGAGATTGTCGTTGAAATTTTGCAATCAATGTGGACATATTTCTCAAACTTCGAAGTTTCAACCGAAAACGTCGAAGCCCCACAAGACTTTCTTGAAGCCAAGAAGACAAAGGCCAAACTGGACATTGGTCTTGAGATTTTCAAGAAATCATCCAAAAAAGGTGTTGCTTTCTTTATCCAGGAAGGATTTACCAACGACGATCCTGCTTCCATTGCCAAGTTCTTCCACAATACGCACTCCCTTAACCCTACTTCCGTTGGAGAATATCTTGGAACAAAAGATAATATCGAAGTTCTCAAGGAATACGTTGAAATCTTCAACTTCAAGGGCATGTCCTTTGAACAAGCATTTCGAATGTTCCTTCAGAGCTTCACAATTCCAGGAGAAGCCCAAATGATCGACAGATTCATGGAACAGTTCGGTACAAAGTACTACAACGACAATCCCGGCACTTTCTCATGCGCTGACACCTGTTACATGTTGGCTTTTTCAGCTTTGATGTTGAATACAGATTCTCATAACAAAGCCATCAAAAACCACATGACATTTCCACAATTTGTTGCAAATAACAGGAACTTAGACAATGGAAAAGATCTTCATGAAGATTTCCTAAGAGAATTATACAACGGAATCACTTCAAAAGAGATTTGTGTACTTCCAAATTCTGTTCCAAGTTTATCTCTACTAACACTTGAACAGAGATCTGAATTATATAATATGCAATGTGCACAAATGATTGAAGATGCCAAGGATAAATCTAGAATAACAGATCATTCATTCCATCACTCCGAATCACCTCTTTTCATTGGTCCAATGTTCCAATCGATATGGGGAGGAGCTTTGGGAGCATTGACAATGACATTGCAACAAAGTGATGATCCTAGTGTTTATAATCTTTGTTTGAAAGGATTGACATTGGCTGTACACATCGCTTCTCATTGTTTCGTTGAAAATGCATTGGATACATTGGTTGATTCATTCTCTAAATTCACTAATTTGAGAAAGAATTTGTCAGAAGTCCAACCAAAGAATATCCAATGTACGAATGCATTGTTGAGGATAGCTATTGAAGATAAGAATTTCTTACGTGGTGCATGGGAAATTGTTTTAGCAGAGATCTCAGCATTGGACAGAAAGAAAGATGATTTGTCGAGTGCAGATACTACATTGATTGATGAATTGTTTATGGCAACAGATACATTGGACAGAGAATCTATTGCAGACTTCTTGAAATCATTAGTTTCGGTTTCTAAATCAGAATTATCAGAAAAAGAACCACGAAAATTCTCATTACAACAATTAGCAGTTGTTGCACATTTCAACATGAAACGACCACGTTTTATTTGGGTTGCTATTTGGGGCACAATTGGTGAACATTTGTCTAGTGTTGGTACATCAGATAATGAGAACATGGCAGACATCACTATCGACATTTTGCGACAATTGGCTATCAAATTCATGAATGAAGAAGAATTGTCACAATTCCATTTCCAAGAACATTTCATGAAACCATTCCAATACATCTTCGAACGTCAGAAACTTCAAGGCCCAAAGCGATTAGTCATCGACTGCATCACTATGCTTGCAAGAGAGTTAGGTCTTAAACTTAAGTCCGGATGGGCAACAGTTATTTCTATTGTTGCATCTGCTAGTAAAGAGAGCAAAGATGTTAGTGAACCAGCATTGGATTTGCTTAAGTTTATTATCAATGAAAGTTTGAGTTCAGTTGTTGACTACAATGTTTCATTGAACAACGCAATCAATGCATACGAATCAGCATTGACAAAAGAAGTTGCAGATGAATACCGATCTAAAGTCAATTCCGCAGTTCAATCTAAGAAAGAAAAGAATAAGAAATAACTTATTTTTTAAATATTGTATTATTTATAATTTTAGAAAAATAACAAATTGTATGAAATATTACATTTTTATATAAAAAATATTTAATATTAAATCATATTTTTTAGATACTTCTGTACAGAAAAAGAGATATCAAATGTTTATAAACCGATTGAAATCATTCTTATTCTCTATTTGTTTCTGAATGCAATTTTGTTTTAAAACTATAAGTCGAGAGTTTTGGGGCTGGTTTCTGAGTCGAAATTCGAGATTTTGTCTGTTCGAACTGCACAAAATTTCTCAAAATTTGGATCAGTCAAAAGACTTTTTTTCCTCAGAAAAAATATACATAAAAAATTTTCAAGTCGTAATGAATTTCTGGATTTATTGGAAATACAAAATGTATTGTCGAAAGAAGAAAATTACATCGTGAGGAAGGTCATAATAGTGTTTGGAGTCATTATTATGCAGGAATTAGTCCTCCTTCTAAAGTTATTCAAGGTGAAAACCAAAACGTCACAGCAACTGATAACAAATGCTTCACATACATATGTATATTCACAAACATACAAGACAGAGCAATCAAATTCGAATCTATTTCAGATTATTCTTTTTTACTTATCGAAAACGTTTTCAACAAAGGTCCAGGTACAGTTTATATTGATAGTTCTAATAAAAATAACATTATTATTGATAAATTTTGTTCATTTGAAAGTAAATCAAATTATAATGGTATATTTACATATTTCAAAGGCAGCATCAACAGTACAATCCTCCAAGGATCAATTTCTAATGGAGGAGATAGCTCTTCTGGAAGTGGAATGATTTACCAAAATCAAGGTTTTTCATCTCTTTCGAAAACAAACATTTCTAATTGCATTTCAGGGTCTTCAACTGCTTTTTATTATTTCTATGTTAAATCAACAACAAATGTTTCATTTTGTAATTTTGAGAATTTAGAAGCATATCAAACAATCACTGAATTTATGAACAGTGATGGAAGAGTTGAAAGATGTAATTATATAAACAACTTCCAAACAGGTTCATTGAATGGATTAGTTTTTGTTTACGATAATAAAGTTGATATTCTAGATTCAGTTTTCCCAAACAATCGAAAAAATGATAGAGGAAAATTATTTTATTCATTTAATGGACAGATTTATATATATCGATGTAATGTTGATAAATATTCAGCTTATGGTGAATTTGGTGGATTTGTTGATACAGCAAGTATGACAACAGATCCATTTTCTAATGACTTAAAGTTCATTGGATTAAGTCCATGTGAAGGAGAATTATCAATTGTAAAAAAGAAAGATAAAAATGATTCTATTTGCATCGACATTGATATTATTTCATTAACAAATCTATTTAATACATCATCTTCATAAGCATAATCTTTATAATACAATTTTATGAAAAATGGTTTTAAAATTTCTAATCATCCTTTGGCATCACAAGGTAGGGATTGCATCACATTTTTAAGATCTATGGGAGCCACAAATTAAAATTAACGGCACAGATACAACTTTCTGACATTCTCTCACATGCCAACAAATCCCTATTTTATGTACTTTTTGATGATTTATAGTAACTTTTTTTTCAAACCAAATCAAACCAAAAAATCTTTAATTTATTATACAAAATCTGTAGATATGGGTAATGTTGACTCACTGGTTGCATACATCCTCTTTCATCTTCAAGGTATTAATAATCCATATAGTTAAGTCGAAGCATATCTATATATGAAAATTGCTGCTGATAAGAACTCTCAAGTTGCCAATTTCCATTTCGGAAACTTTAATTTATAAGGAATTGGATGCAAATTTATTTCAAAATCGCCGCAGATCTTAGTTATTCCGATGCATCAAATTCATATGCCAATGCCTACAAACAGGTATAAAGATTATTATACAATATTGCTCAATTAGGTCTTAATTTTCTCCAAAGTGATGATCCTAGTGTTTATAATCTTTGTTTGAAAGGATTGACATTGGGCAACAGTTATTTCTATTGTTGCATCTGCTAGTAAAGAGAGCAAAGATGTTAGTGAACCAGCATTGGATTTGCTTAAGTTTATTATCAATGAAAGTTTGAGTTCAGTTGTTGACTACAATGTTTCATTGAACAACGCAATCAATGCATACGAATCAGCATTGACAAAAGAAGTTGCAGATGAATACCGATCTAAAGTCAATTCCGCAGTTCAATCTAAGAAAGAAAAGAATAAGAAATAACTTATTTTTTAAATATTGTATTATTTATAATTTTAGAAAAATAACAAATTGTATGAAATATTACATTTTTATATAAAAAATTTATTTATTTGATAAGTTCATATTTTTTAGATACTTCTTCTGAGATCAGAAGAAGAGATATCAAATCTAGATGAAAACATATAAATCGAGTCAATTTTTTCTAATACACCATTGGTTTATTAAAAAAACGAAACTAAAACTTTTATATACACGGATATCTGACTTTAATTTTTGACAACCGGCCTGAAATATATTGAAAACCAACCTTAAACATTAGAATTGACGGTCTTGACATACGGGCGTAAGTGCACTATTAATTGTGCTTTATCTAACTAATGTTACTAACCAACTAAAAAATTTTCCTTTCAAAACGAATACATTCAATCATCGTAAATATAAAATATATCATCGAATTTAGAAAATTTCATCGTGAAGAAGATCCTAATAGTGTTTGGCTTCATTATTATGCAGGAATTAGTCCTCCTTCTACAGTTATTCAAGGTGAAAACCAAAATGCCACAGCAACAGAAAACAAATGCTTTACATATTTATGCATATTCACCAACTTACAAGATAGAGCCATCAAATTTGAGAATATTTCAGATTTTTCTTTTTTACTTTGCGAAAACTTTTTCAACAAAGGTCCAGGAACAGTACATATATCTAGTTTCAGTAAAAATAGCATTATTATTGATAAATTTTGTTCATTTGATAGTAAATCTCTAACAAGTGGTCATTTTACTTATCTTGTAGGTAAAATCAATGGTTCAATCCTTCAAGGATCAATTACTAATGGAGGAGATAGCTCTGTAGATAGAGGAATGATTTACCAAAAACAAGGTTTTTCATCTCTTTCACAAACAAACATTTCTAATTGCATTTCAAGGTTTTCAACAGCTTTTTATGATGACTATATTGATTCAAAAACAGATGTTTCATTTTGTAATTTTGAGAATTTAGTAGCAAGTGAAATGATCACTCAGTTTGAGAGAAGTGATGGAAGAATTGAAAGATGTAATTATATAAACAACTTCCAAACAAATTCAGGTTGGGGATTAGTTCTTGTTACATCAAAAAGGCTTGATATTTTAGATTCCATTTTCCAAAACAATCTAAAAGATAATAAAGGGAAATTATTTTATTCAAATAATAGAGGGCAGATTTATATCGATATATCGATGTAATGTTGATGAATATTCAGCTACTTATTCTGTTTATACATCAAGTATGCCAACAGATCCATTCTCTAATGACTTAAAGTTCAATGTATTAATTATATGTGAAGAAGTGTTATCAAAAGCTCAAAATAAAGATAAAAATGATTCTATTAACATCAAACTTATATTTCATCGACAATCATTTTTAATACATATGTTTCATAAACATCATCTTTATCATACATTTTTGCAAATTATTATTCACTTTATCGGTTCGAAATTTTGAGGATGCTCCCTTCGGTCACCTTCCCAAAATCTCAAACCGCAAAAAAGCTTATTATCAATTTAGGATAGTATTGTCTACAGAAAAATTTTAAATGTTTGTTAAGAATTTTTTTCTGTCAATACCTTTTCAAAATAAAATAATTTTAAAAGAGAAGTGTTATCAAAAGCTACAATATTGGTTGCTTAGATTATTGGACATGCATATATCTATAAATATTGCTTTTGCTAATAATTAAGAATGTGATCAAAAGGAAGCATTAATGTATATATATGATATAATATATGATAAAATTCAATTAATATAATTTTAAAATTAAGACTTAAGTCTTGTAATCTTAATACATTCATGAAATATATTTTAATATAAAACAAAATCATTCCTATTTCTCAATGACTCAAAGTTTATTGAATTAAGTATATGCGAAGGAAAATTAACATATTTTCAAAATTAAGCTAAAAATGATTCTTTTTGCATCAAAAAGATAAATTGAGATATATTTTTAAGTGGAATTGCTAATAGATCTATTAACGTATACCGTTCAATGACCTTATGAAAAGACATTTTCGAATAGTAAAATTGAATTTCAATGAATATATATATTTTCATTTCTTTAGTTGGCACAAATATATTACAATATATCTTTCACATAGACTTAATCTGAGAAACTCTTAGTAATTATAAAATGATTCTGTAGTCATATTTGTATGATCAACTTTATTATCTCTAAATACTCGGGCCGAATATTATTCAATGGAATATAATATCATCGATATATTGGAAAATGGTCCTTTTATACTATCTATGGATTAACAAAAAAGTCATTAAGTGCTTTCCAAAAATGTAAAATCTGCATTTATCTACTGAACAAATTTTCTTTTCTTTAGCTTGCATAAACAATAACACTTCACACGGATCTAAGCCAATGAACTCTAGGTCATTTGAGAATGTTTCTGTTGCCATACTTGAATTATCAACAATTGCGCCAGTAAATGAACTAGCTGAAAATTGATCAATAATGCATCGTATTATATAGATTCTTCCTAAATAGTTTGCAAAAAATAATGTTCCTTGATTTTTCTGGAAAACTGAATCTAAAACATCAACCTTACTTGAATGTACCATAAACAATCCCAAACCATTTTGAGAGATGTTTAAATAATTACATCTTTCCATTCCTATAATACTTCTAAAAATTTGAATACAACCTGATGAACTTAGTTTCTCAAAATTACAATATGAAATATTTTCTAAATTTGGGCATGACAAAGTACTTTGTGGAGTGAAAGATTATTAAGCATCAGATTTGCAAACGTTATCTGTTAATGGTTGCTTATATATAAAAAGTTCAAGTATTAAAAAATAAATATATTTGAACAGTCTACACGGATTGATTTTTAAACGAACAAATTGAAGCCAAAATAATCATTTTTTAACATATTGGAAAGCTAATGTTAAATGAAAATTCTATATGATATGAGTGCTTGATAGATACATTTTTAACTTTGTTAAGTTAAATTAAAATTAAAAAAAATCTCAATTTAAAATATTTGTTATCTTTTATTATCTTAAATCATTGGTATGCATACGTGAATATTAATAAAAGATTGGTGATCTCATATACAATTAATGTTCTAATCTTTCAAATTTGAAACTTTTCTTGTGTTCATGTCAATTTAGATAGATTCGTCTTAACAATAAATGTAATGGACAAAATCGCCCTGTTGATATGATTGACATAGAAGATCGTTCTTCTCATGTTCAAAATTGTAATTCCGGTAATTCGCAGAAATTGCTATGAATTTTATAAAACTGACACAACGATTGGCCAGCCAATTTTTATAAAAAATATTTTTAAACAAAACAAAACGAATATGAATTGTATTCTTTATGTGATTTTTGAACGAAAGTTCCTTTCTCAAATTCTGTTCTTAAAAAAAATCGAAATCTGACACACACACAAAAAAAAATCTAAAGGTTTGATTCAATTTTGATAGAATATTCATGTGCTTTTGTATAAAATATAGAGAATCTCAATTATTTCAAATTCGAAAGTAAAATATTATTACAAAAATAAAAGATTACTCCCTATTCTGTTTAGATGTGATAAGTATAGTATACACATTTAATATTATTATAACGCTATTATAATAAACTTTAAAATTATGATTTTATAGGAGTTCAAACATGAATAATTTTAAATCTGAAATTAAAATGAAAAATACATTTAAATATGATTTATTATAAAGAGCAATATATTTTTGTACTTTTTGCAATCTTTATTTTCTTTTTAAATTGACACTTTACTATATGTCAAAACTTCTCACAAAAAAATTCAATGTACTATCAAAATTTCGTATTCAGACTCAAATATGTTCTCAATTTATTTGTTACCAGACCATTTGATAAATACAAAGAAGTTTATCTTGTATTATTTAATAATTTAAATATCTTTTACTTTAGAATTAAAAATCAAATTTTGAGAAGAGGAATTGTTGATGGAATTTACAATTTATTTGTCACTTTTACAATTAATTGTGATAAAATTGATCATCGTTATAAATTTCATCATTCCCACATGATATTATCTTATATTATCTAAGACATAGAAAAAAATTTCATAGAGAAATTAGTTTGAATATAATTCATTTTATAGCATTGCATTAACCGAAATATTTTAACATTTGAAAAATAATAATAATATTTTTATCACTGCACAATTTTTTTGTGAATGTATTTTGAAAATCTTTTTGAATAGTTCTAGGAAGTCAGTTCATTTTACTTTAATGAAGTGGCTCTGGACTAACACAACACAAGTTGGATTTGGAGAAAATGCTGTTCTTGAACATCTTAATAAGTTTGTACAGCCGAAATCTAAAGTTGTTGTTATTTTTGGAGGTGGTTCCATTGATAAGAATGGTGCCCGTGCTGATGTCACAAAAGCTTTAAGCGAACTTGAAGTCGAAGCTCGTTGGGAAGGTGGTATCCAACCAAACCCTGATTATTCTCGCTGCATGGAGATCATCAAAGTTGTTTGTGAATTCAAGCCAGATTTACTCCTTGCTGTCGGAGGTGGCTCAACAATCGATGCTACAAAGTTCATTTCAGTTGGTGCCAAACTTGATCCTTCTATTGATCCATGGGAGATACTTTCAAAGAACAACTATCCAAAGACAAACATCCCAGTTGGATCCGTCTTGACACTCCCAGCAACAGGTTCAGAATGGAACTGCAACTTCGTCATCTCGAAGAGAGCAACAGGAGAGAAGCTTGGCAGTGCAAGTCAGATTACTTTTCCTAAGTTTTCTCTCATTGATCCGAAGTACACAATGACGCTTCCACCACGCCAGCTTCGTAATGGCCTCTATGATGCTATGACTCATTGTGTTGATCAGTTGATCACTGGTCAAGTTAACCCAATGATGGATAACTTCTGGATGTCCATCATGCGTGAGCTCGTTGATATATCAGATGATCTCATGAAGCCAAATTCATCTCTCGAGTTGCATGGAAGACTCATCACTGCAGCTACATTCGCTCTCAACTTTATCTTCACACTCGGAAAGGAGACATGCTGGGGCATTCACGTAATCGGCCATCAGCTTACGGCTGAATATGGAATCGATCACGGTGCAACATTGGCAATGGTTGCTCCACGCCTTCTCAGGAAGCTCATCTCAACACGCGGTTACCTGATGGCTCGTTCTGCAGAGCGTGTATTTGATATCCACGAGGGCTCTGACGAAGAGAAAGCAAAGAAGTTCATTGATCTTCTTCAGCAGTGGTCAATCAAGTTAGGCCACGTATTGACTGTCCATGAGTGGGAAGGTGCTTCTGAAGTCAAGCCAGGAGATGTCGATAAAGCTACGAAGATGGTCATGGACACAACAGGTGGCAAGCCATTTGGCTGGAACCATGAAATCACAGAGGCTATCACACGTGATGTCCTTAAGGAAATTATCGTTTGAATTCGTTTATCTTTTGACTAAATCAAACTAATTTTCCCCAAAATAACATTTCTCTATATTTAATATTTTATTCATGTGATTTTATTATCATATTAACTGTATTTATATGCAAATTAACATTTGACAATTCATATAAAATGAAACCATGCTTCAAACTAGTGATATCATGTATCTCTCGAGTAATTGATTTTCGATAACTTAACTTTGATGATGGTTTACAAAAATATGATGGCTGATGGTTTCTCTAACTTTACTTTGCTGTATTTTACATGTGTTGTTGTTTGTTTCTGAACGGGTAACAATTATTAGATTAAATTGATTGAATTAAGCAATAATCTTTAGTATTTTACCTTCATTTTGTTGTTTGAAGTTCTTGAGATATTCCTTTTCTTTATCTAATTTTCGTTGTTTTTGAGCACGTAATCGATACTCTTCTTCTTTTTTTTTACTGAGTATTTTAACTTCTTCAATCTTTCCATGTTCAATACACTCTTCACCTGCCTCTACTAGCTTCTTTATTGCAAGCTTTTTTAGCTGAAAATTTCTAATTCTCTGGATTTGGTCTTTTATCACTCGATTTTGATGCTAAATGCATACAGTTATAAATCCAAATGATGTTACCCATCCGTTAGATAATTTTATTGCATGAGAGATATGTCATATTAACCAGAATAAGTTCTCAAAACATGATCGGCACCATAATTTTATTGCTGGTCATCGTTTATCAAATTTAAAAAAAAAAAAAAAAAAAAAAGGTAGTGGGGCTTCCAGGCACTTCGTGCCTTCTAGCCCTGAAGATGTTTAGTATAAATGAAGTTCTTATATACGGGTCTTCCAGGAGCTTTTCACAAATTATATATGTTTTCATGTTTTGTCAAGACTTCTTCGTAAAATCAGACAAAAATAATGTTTAGGGTAGAAGGTTAGATATAACCTCTTTTCTAACCTCTTTTCTACCCTCTTGAATTTTCAAGACTTCTTCGTACATGTTTTGTCACTTTTCTGTCACTTTTCAGGAAAAAACATTTTTATTGTATATAAAATGAATTTTACAAAACCACCGTTACCCTTCTTTGGAAATAAGAGTAGATGTAAAGATATTCTATTGAGAGAACTTAAGAAACTACCGAATGGTCTAACATTTGTAGATTTGTTCGGTGGAAGTTTCTATATATCCCATTTGTGCCATACAATATTCCCAGACTCAAAGATTATATGCAATGACTTCGACAACTATATGGACCGTCTCAAACATATACCAGACACAAACAAAATATTGAAAGAGTTAAAAGAAAAGATACCTATAGGTAAGATGGAACGTATACCATTAGATAACAAAAATATTGTGAGAGAGGTTTTGAAAAAAGCAGAATATATAGACTGGGATAGTATATCTGCTAGACTATTATATAGTGGTGCTATAAGAGTTCATGACATTGAAACACTTATGTCAAAAGTTTTATATCTTAACTATACAAATGTTTTCAAAGAGGACATAGATAAATATATTGAGGGTATAGAGTTTGTGAGATGTCATTGGACAGATTTGTATGAAAAATATAAAGACAAGGAAAATGTTTTCTTTATAGTGGACCCGCCGTTCTATAACACATGGGATTTTCAATACCAAGTAGACTGGACTTTGAGAGACTCTTTAGAAACTTTAGACGTTTTACATAACCATCCATGCTTTTACTTTACATCCGATAAAAGTGGTTTGGAAACCGTTATGAGATGGTTAGAGGACATACATGACTATGAGTTTATATATATGACAAGATAGAATATGAGAGAGGTCCTATAAACTGGAGAAAGTGTCACAATAAAGAAATTTTATTAGTAAGTAAATGTGGTTTGAAATAGGACTACTTGTTTTAGGTTTTTTCCATTGTGTCATTTATTTATTTGACGTGGCAGAAAGATATAGAGAATATGAAGATGAACCAATGCCTGCAAATGTTCAGCATATGTACTCGTAAGAGATATTTTTATCTAATATTAAATGGACGCACAGAACTTAGCGAATGCACAGCAACCTGGACAACCAAACCCAGAGAATATTCCAAATGAAGTTAGAATACAAACTGCAATGGCAAACTATGGTCAAGTGCCAACAGATGTACAAATGCAAACTGCCATGTCAAATGACGCTGCGTTAGGTTTGCCACCATGGTATGCAAATATGAGATGGAAAGAGTTTTATACAAACCCTGAAGTGGGATATAAACAACTTTATGCAGATGACGCAAACACAGGAGTTGACCCAGAATATGTTTTCTACCAGAGGAGAAACAGAATGTATGAGCTCCAGTTAAAGAATGCTATGGAACTCAACAGGAAACGTAAGAGACTAGGCGGACATTAGATTTTTACATATAGTAAAATGGGTTTCTTCAGTAAGATAGGAAACTTCTTTCGAAATGTTGGAAGAGGTATATGGAATGGAATAAAATCTGTCGGAAAAGGAATTTGGAACGGTGTCAAAAATATTGGTAAAAGAGTAGGTCAGTTTGTTGGTATTATACCTAAAGACCCTGAACCAGAAGAGCAAGCTCCTGTTATACAACAGCCTGAACCTGCACCACAGTCTAGTTGGCAACCAAATCCAACACCTCAACCGTATTAAAAAATTATATTTTTACCGTTCGATAGTAGTTGTATATGAAACTAAGTTCTAAGTAAAACGCATGGTATAATGGAATTATTCTTTTTCTTCCATCTGTAGTAAACCATACTTGAAAGTCTGAAATACTTCCACTTGGTGGTTCGTATAACTTTGTAGGTTTTTCGTAAAAGTCATTTGCCAAGCATAAGAAAGAGTTTTGGGCGCCAGAAAATGAAGCATGAACAATAATAGCAGCTGGGTCGAAAACATCTTTAAATAAATATGGTTCATCTCTTGCATATCGACTGTAAATATTTGCTAAAGGAAGTTCGACTTTCTGATTTAACATTCTTTGCAAATAATACCATGACATTGCAGTGAATTCTGTATATATTTGTTCGTCTTTCTTTGGATTGTCTTCGTAGATTTGAAATGACACTTGTGAATTTTGTTTGTCATATACAATTCTCACATAAAGTGTGCTCTCGGTATTTGCATATTCATCAGCATATTTTGCATAACATGAATTTATTTATCTTCTATATTTTTTAACGCAGTCTGTAGAGAAGATGAAAGGTCAACTTGTATTAGCTCAATTTCTTCCCACATTTTTCGTTTCCCTTCAGATATATAATCTATATGAAACCTTACAATAAATGGAAAACTTTTATCTTCTACAGACACAAACTTCATTCTACGAAAGCCAATAGCTTTTGTGACAGATGGTCTCTTAACCATCTTAATGGGTAGTCAAAACGATAGCCTTCATGCTTTACGGTCTCTGTCTCAAACTTTTGACCGACATTAGTAAAAAGTTCATCTAATGGTTTAGTTGTAGCAACTCTTGAATTTTCTTTTTCTATTGAAAGCATATTTTATCTAGAATAAAAATGTCGAAAGAAACAGCGTCTATGAGAGAAATACAACACAACCGACAACTCATTGTGCAAGCTCTAAATAAGAACACAACAAACTTTTCAAACTATTCTAAGATATCTGAGTCATTGAAAGAAGGAAACTTAAAACTGACGATAAACCCATTGACAGACGAGTTTCTGTTTCAAGACAGTAAGAACCATACTGTTTGTATAAATCCAACAAAAGGAACTTTAAACGAGAAACCTATAAAAGAACTTCTTTTGAAAGCAGATGTTGACAACAAAGCTGACAAAGAGTATGTCATTGAAAAAGTTCAAGAAGAACATGACAGAGCAGATGCAACATATGCAACGAAAGAACATACTCATCCTGAACTAGCAGACAAAACATATGTTGACAATAAAATGTCAAGTGAAGTGACAAGAGCTGAAAACGAATATTCTAAAAAGACTCATACACATACCATTGCAAATATTACAAACTTACAAGAAACCTTAAACAAGAAAAGTGACGTTGGACATACACACGATTTCTTCGCAACTGTTGGTATAGAAAATATTGCAGGAACGGTTGAAGAACCTGATGGAACTGGTGGGGATGTATTAAATTGGAAACCTCCTAACTTTCCACAAGGTTTAACATCGGATGAAGACATAACGACGATGAAATACACTAGATGTAGAAATGTCTATGTCATGGAGGATGAAAACAATGTTAAATTCACTGCTCAAGATTTATATGATAAGAAAGCTGACAAAACATATGTTAACGATGAGTTAGATAAAAAAGCTGACAAAACATATGTTAACGATGAGTTAGATAAAAAAGCTGACAAAAACAGAAACGTTAAAGACAGAAATACTTCAAACACTATATCCTATAGGTTCTATTTACACGTCAATGAACTCTACAGACCAGAAGTAGTACTTGGTCTCGGAACTTGGACTCAAATAGTCGACAGGTTTTTGTATTGTGCAAACTCTTCAAAGGAAACAGGTGGAAGTAAAACAATTTCAGGTGAAAACTTACCTGCGCACAGTCACTACATAGATTTAAGTACATCTCAAGCAGGTTGGCATAAGCATAGATTTTGGGATTGGTCAGCAATGAAAAAAGGTAAAGGATATGATGTTAAAGACAACGTTCAGTTTGCTATAAATTGTTTCTGGGGTAGCACACAGGGAGAAGGAAACCATACACATCGCGTTTCAGGGTATACGCAAACAACGGGACAAAGTAAAGAATACATGCCACCTTACATGACAGTTTACGCATGGTATAGAAATGCTTAGTCGTCATTTTCAACTTCTTTAGCATATTCGTCAGGAGTTGTCTTATATTTGTTAGGAACTGTCTTTGAAAGTATACCACTTGAACCTTAACAAGTTTGAAACGAGGTCTGACAATAGTAGTTTTTATCTTCTGCTTGCAGTGTGTACATTTTGCCATGTTTGCCTAAAACTTCATATATTCTCTTGTATACTTTCTTCTATTTTTACGAACACGAATGTGAGTA